CTTACCGCCGGATCTCTTTCACCACGGATTGCCTTCCGTCATGATCACTTGGCCGAGAAGACTCGTCGGATCTCTCTATTTCACCGTCACGATCACTTGGCCGGGAAGACACAAACATATTACGGCTCCAGAACTGACGGTGGAGGCCTTCGCCGGAGGTCAAAGAGAAGTCGAGGATGGTTCGTTCATCACTTCGGCGGTTCAGAAACCAAAAAAACAAAAAACCTACAAAAAGTAATAATAAAATAAGAAGGCATAAGAGAGAGAAGATTTCTTACCTTTTGCTTAGGGGAAAAAGCGAATTGGTGGAAAATAACTCTAGGGAATCAAACTTATTTATACTTGGAGAATTTCCTAAAATCACTACGTTTTTGGAAAAATTCTTGAAATTTTTCAGTTTGCCTCAAGTCCCACTAAAGCAACATGACCAACCTCAGTTTTCTAAGACCGAGAAAAAGAAAATAAGTCCAGAAAAACACGCTAACATCGGCTCAATGCGGAATAACGGAAGCTTCCCGAATTCGGTGATAAGACGTCCACGCCTGGCAACTTCGCAGTCCAACATATCGATCTCAGGCTTTAGAGACTTTTACCTCGACATCATCATAACTCGATACTACTGAGCTGGGGGGCTAACTATAGGGATCGGATTTCTCTCCTATGAGATCGATATAACAACAAGATCAACTTTGCAGCGTCCTGACGAAATTGGATCGAGTCTGCAAGGGTCCAGTCTGAATCTATGCCCAAAATGACATTAAACCCATTAACTAAATGGGCTTTATAGATTAATGTGCCTAATTGTAATATATTGCTTAATGGGCCTGGTCCATTTATTAGCTAGTACTATATATAGTTCATTGTACTCACCCAAAAAAGGGGGATCGATTCATTTGTAACCAGAGTTTAAGCGAAAACAGCAATAAATCATATCTTCGACTTTTGCTTTGTGATTCATACTCAGAAGACTCAGTTCTCCTTTCAACCCTTGACAAATTCAACTGTGTAGGATCCGCCGTCCACATTGGCCGGGTAGGTCAGGTGGTTGAGAC